GCACTTCCAGGGATGAGGCAGCCACAGTTTCCCTGGGCAACCTGTTGTAGTGTCTCATCATCCTCACAGGGAAGAATTGCTTCCTATTATCTAAACCTCAGTTTGAAGTCATTCCCTCTTGTCCTGTTGCTCCAGGCTTTAACCATATATCTGGGATGGTGTTTGTCCAGGTCCTGGATCTGCCCCTTCTGTGGAGGTTGTTTCAGTTCACTGAAGGAGCAGGGAGCAAAGGGAAGTTAAGGTGGTCTGGTGTTCTTTCTGGTTTTTGTTGCTTTGCTCTCCGTAACTTTCTTGCCACTTGCTATTTTTTGTGTGTGAATTTCAGCTACTCCTGCCCATTTCATGTGATTAATGGACTTTGTGGAAGATTGAATTTACAGCTAAAAGCATCAACTGTACTTCTGCTATACTAAGCTGTTGTAATATCCAGTGGAAGACACATAATTTCATTTGTTAGAACATCAGTACTCTTGCTGCTGCCTTTTTTTTTCTTTTTTTTTTTCTTTTCCTGTTAGTGTTCCAGACTTTTATTTCATTGTTGATTTTCTTTAGAAAGATCACAATTGCTTCCACTTCTCAGCAGCAGAGAGAATAATACACCTTTGCGCCTTGACATTGAACTGTAATGGATTTTTCTATTTAGAAAGTAAATTAACTTTAAGAAAGTGAAAGGAAAGAATAAACACCAGTGCAGAATTGGCTGTGGATGACTGCCTCTTTAAACATGGTTTCCAAGAAAAAGGATTTTGTCAATTCCATAGGTGTGCAAACCAGGATGTTATCTGAATTAAACTGTTTGCTCAGTCAGGGATGTCAATACCTGACTTCAAATGTTGTCACAGAGGCATAAATCAAAGTGCAGAGCAGGAAGAATTTACGATGAATTTCCAGAAGACAAGTTTAATCAGGATCGTTATGTACCCTTGCACGATGACTAGGCACAGTGAGGTAGAGGAGAGTTACTCAAAGCACATTTACTTGTGTTTAAGGGTCTTGGTAGTTTAGGGGATAGGATTTCAGTCAAGGTCCTGTTGACCTGGGTTGGCTTTTATGTAATGTAAAACTTCAGGGTGGGGAGGCAAGTAGGAGCATATTGCAAGCACTTTAGTAAGACTGTACTGGGAGATGTGAACGTTTTATTCACTGTAACTTAAAGGGTGGTCTTTGTTAGGATTAGCCATTATGGACTAGGAGGCAGTAATTTAATAATAAAAAAACAGATATATTAATACTTTGGTTTGTGTCTTGTCCTAAAAGAACCTGCATCCTTCAGGGAAGTGGAAAATTATTCACTACGAATCTAGTTAACATTTTATGGTCACTGCTGTTGCAGTCAGAAGAAAAAGAACACCCTAACCCTGCTCCCTGAGTCAATTTTACGCATGACTGCAAATACTTTATTGGCATTGTGTTCATATCGCTCATGCTTACTTTTCGTCTCTTTAGAATTTATTACCTGTTTTCCTCAAAATTCACTTTCATTGACTCATCTCTTTATTACAGGGCATCTCAGAGATGATCATATAAAGTATCAAATGTGAAGCAAGAAGGAAATAGACTCTCCTAACTAAAGCTAAAAAGAGCTCTTATGGACCTGTTGTGTAAGTATGTAATAAGCCACATTGTTCTTGTAAAAATAAAGTGAAAACCACTTGGAAATAAAATGTAATTTAAAGCCGGGTTTAAACCAGAAAAATAAATCAGTTATTAAATTTCAGAATTATAGTTTCATCTTCCTCCCGTGCACTTCTTGAAAGGCAAATCTGCATCATATTTCCTCATTAAACTACTGGTGGCTTATTTAGAGTTCAAGTTGTTAGTTAATGATTGTAGACAGAAGTGTCAGAAGTAGATTTTTTTACTACACAAAGCTAGTATTTCTGATACTATTTCCAATTGGACAGCCCATTATTTTACTGCTGAATTGCATATGGAGTTTAACCTATTTTTGGAGGTGGTCCTGTAATCTGATGTGATTCTGACACTTTGGGCTAAAGCTGGTCCTACTCTATTCCAAAGTTCATTCTTTTTTCTGTTCTGCAACTAACTGGCAAATGACATGATTTCTCTGTGCTCTCTTGCCAGCTTTCTAAGATGCCAGCTATCTGATTTCTCAGATCCTTTGAGATCTCTGGAAGGCAAAGTTCTGTATTAAGGGTTGAGTGGTGATTTTTACTGCCATTTTTAATGGCAGAGACATCACTGCTTTGATGTATGACTGCACTCATAAATGTGACATTTCTAACGTCTTTGAAAGAGGATATGCTAAGACCATTCCTTTGTAAGGATCTTTTTGTCTTAGTTCACCTTAATCATTTGGGAGTAGGCTCGTTCTTTCAAAAGAAATTAAGTCAGTACTAAAAGAAGTGATTTGAAATAAATTTGCACAAGACAGCCTTTGTTTTTGCAGCTAAATCATTTGAGAGGAATTCTGGGTAGTAACAGCATCAGAAATGGGAAATTTCCTTTGGATCAAGAAAATCGGATATTGAGGTTTGCAAGTTGTTTACCTCTGGAGGTAATAACACCAGAACGGTCATTTTCACCCAAAGCAATGATCTCTGTGAACAGGAGGGCTGCCTAGGGCTGCTCTCCCTCCTACTGAGTCGCCAAGCTGGTTTTCCAGTATGCTGACTTCACTTGAAGCCTTCATGTTGTATGGGCAAGCTCTTTCAAATCTGGATAAATGCTTAAATTCTCTGTCTTCAGGTCTAACCAGGAAGGGCAAAGACTGCAGTGAGTAACATTGAAAGAAAAAATATTTTGACTTTGCTAAAAGGCTTAGAACAGATTTGAAATAGCACTTTCCACTCCCAATCTGAATCTTTGTCTCTATCTGTAATATTTTTGTGTCTGACAATAACAGATGAAACATTGTTATTACAGTGTGTGCAAACAATACTTCGTATTTCTGAGAGAAGAAACAGCTGAAGAGGTTAAACATATTTACAAAGTAAAGGGGATAAAAATTATTGTTGACAAGTCTATAAGTAACTTGTAAATACATATTTTTCTCTATGGGTATATTTGCAAAATAGAGAGGCCCCTCATTCAATTCCTTGAGATTCCTTCCAGCCCCCCAAATACCTTTGTTCTTCGAGAAATAAATTTAGTTTTTACAGACATTCATTTCATGGATGGATTTGCTTTTGATGCAATTTCTGACAGCTGTTAAGTTTGGGGATTTTTTTGTCTCCATGAATTAAGCACATTTTTCCTCCATTTTCCAAGGGGAAAAGACCACATTTTGCCACAGTTAGAAATACAGTGACCCTTTTCTGCCTGTTTCAGTCCAGAAACTTGAACATATCCCAGCCCTCTAGTGAACCTCTTGGCACTAGTTTGCTATTTTGAAATAATATGTATTAATTTAAAGTAAGCAAAAGAGTTCTAACAAGCAAAATCAGGCAGCAGTGGTTTGATGCAGTCTTCTGTGGTGGGACACGAGCTCTTACCCTGAGTCATCAGAGAAGTTTTGTTTGTTCTAAAAGAATGTACTAGACATGGAGATAATTTCTATTTAATGTTGAATTTGCTGCTGAAGTTGTTTTTAAAAGTTGTATGCTATCAGGTTAGCATAAAGCTTTAATCTCTTTAGAGAATGTCTTCTTACCTAAGTTGGAAACAGCTTCCTCCATGATCAGTAATCCTATTTATTTGCTCTTTTTACATAAACAAATGCCCAATGATACATTGGATATTTATGTCTGAGAGCTTTTCTTGCCAGTATTTGGAGTTGGTGTTTGTGAAATCACCATGGTATTTTAAAAATCTCTGTTTTACCACCAAGTTGACTTTAAAATGTCTAACAAAATTGGAATGACACACCTTTTCAAGTCAGTTACTTCATCTTCTCATCCTATTTAAAGCAATGTTTTAAAGATCCGTGTGACTGCAGTCATAACTTCACCTAAACTTAGCCTGGTGTTATGGAATTGCTTCAGATGTTCTTTGTGTAATGCTAATTCTCCACAGTAGACCTTAAATTTGTAAAGGTGAGTGTTTACTTACAAGAAAGTTACTTGAATAGGTTTGGTTTTTTTTAAATAAAGACAACGGCATTAATCTTTCAGCATTACAGGTAGGGAAAAGCTGATTGATCCATGGGAAGTGGCTAGCTGTTAATATGAGAAGGTGAGAAAACACGTGGGTGAAAGAAGTTCGCAGATCTTCCTTTCAGCTTCTAGGAACTGAAAAAACAATGTGTTGGGTGATTGGGTTGTTCATTGTCCATTACTGGCTATGGTAATTGCAGTATTGGATGTCACCAAAATATTTTTTGGGGTGGGAGGGATGTTGATGGGAAGAGAGAAAATAGAGGTTTGCACACCCTTTGCCTGTGTTTCAGATGGAGAAGTGGGTGCACAAAGGGTTAACTGGTTTAATGCTTTGCTCAGGAATGCAGGTTCTCCTCAAAAAACATAGATGACCGAAGCACTATGTAATTTAGTATTTTGGAATTTTATTGAAGGCTTTTGATAGAGTTGAAGTTTCAGGTGAGGCAAAAGCAGCAGCAGATGTTGAGCTGAGCTGCGCTGCGGGTGCCATAAACGGGCGGGCGGCTGCCAGGTGCTCTGTGGAAAAGCAAATTAATCATGGTTTCAGCTCTGCCCCTAGCCGGACGTGGCGGCACCGTGACTCGGGCTTGCCCGTCTACGGCCTTGGGGTTATCTTTGCCAAAAGACTCCGGAAGGCACTGTAAACCAAACGCCGCAGCCGGGCCGGGGGACAGGAGCGCTCCCGCGCCCTGTGCGGGGACCCCGCGCTCCGGGGGCAGGACAGGGGCCGGGCAGGACGGGGCTGAGCCTCCCGCCCTTCCACACCGAGCCTTCCCTCCGCTGGGCCGCCCCGTCCGTCTGTCCATCTGTCCGAGCCTCGGCGGGGCCGCAGCCCCGCGCCCGCCCGTGGGGCTTCTCCTCGGGGCCGCGCCGAGGCGTGGGCCCCTCAGGGGCCCAGGGCATCCTCTCCCGCTGCCGTCGAGGCGCCGTCCTAGACTCGCCCACGCCAGGCAGCCGGTGCTGGCCAGAGTCTCCGCGGCTCCCCCTCAGAGCCCCCGCGGCTGTCCCTCAGAGCCCCCGGCCGTACAGGGCCTTGTGGCGCAGGTACTCCTCGAGACACTGGATGGCCGCATCGTCCATCTCGGGGTCGAACTTGTTGGCCAAGAGATGGTGCTGCTGCAGCATCCAGGGCACGTCGCCCACCCCATAGATGCAGATGGCGCGCTGGTGGCGGCCGGTGCAGGGCGGGTAGGGAGCGCCCTTGCTGATGTCCCCCTCCATGTACTCCCACTTGACCAGACGGGGAACGGCGTTCATGTCCGAGAGCTGGAACTTGTCGTTCGGGGGCGTGCTCCCCGGCACGCCCGGCATGCGGTTCAGAGTGGCCCAGACGTGCTCATCAGGGCTGTAGCTGTCCTTGGACCACTCGAGGAACTTTCGTGCCGTGGGGTTCTTGAAGATATACTGCACGAAGTCCCGTGTGAGGGCGTGGTACGCGCTGCCCGTGAACATGGGGTAGCCGTGGGGTGGCGGCAGTTTCTTCTGGGCAGTGCGAGAGATGCTCTCCCCCACCTCGTGGTGGTACTGCCAACGCTGCTGCTTGGCGGCTGAGGGCCTCTCCGACTCCACGTTGTTGTGGCCCTGCAGCAGCTGCAGCGTCCGGACTATCTCGGCGTTGGTCTTGATGGGGAAGTCGGTGCCGCAGGTGTTGATGAGGTAGCGCCATGGCACCGGGCTCTGCAGCAGGTCTTGCATGCAGTTGAGGTCGGCCTGCAGCCGGGACCAGGCGGCATAGACCACGCTTTCCAGGCGGCTGGCCACGAAGACGTTGGGGAAGCAGGCAGCAATGGCCCGCACGGCCTTCTGGAAGGCGGCCGGGGATTTGCTGTCCACGTGGACACAGTAGACATTCTGGGGGGCGTAGACGGACCGCAGGAGCCGCTCAAACATGTCGATTTTGTGGTGGATGACCATGGAGTAGGCGATGGGGAACTCCTCCTCCTCCTGGCTGAGCGGGAACTCGATGTAGCGCCGGGTCTCTTTGAAGGCTCTGCAGTCCCTCGTAATGTTCAGGTAGTCGCCGGGCGTCGGTGAAGCCTTTCTGTTCGCTACTTCCAGGTTGTTGAGCTGCGCCTCCCGGATGGCTGTCTCGTCCCCGCGGACGACCCCCGAGCAGTTGATGCTGCGGCTGGGGGAGAGCTCCAGCGCCCGGTAGAGGCGGGAGCGGTCGGCGGGGTCGGGGCGGGCGGTGCCGCGCAGAGCCAGGGCGGCGGCGAGCAGCGCCAGCGGCCCGAGCAGCAGCATCACCCAGCGCCGCCGTGCCGCCGGGCCCCGCTCCCACCACTGCATCCCCGCCGGGGCTCTGCCCTCGCCTCCTGACTGCGCTGCCCTGGGCGAGCCCGAGCCGCTGCCGCACGGAGCAGCTCGCCAGCTGGGCACCTGCTGCCTCTGGGAGGTGGGGAAGCAGTGCCTGGGCGATCCCGGTGTGACCGCAGGTGAACAAGAGTCCCCTCCCTCCCCGTGGCGTGGCTCTGTTTAGTTTTATCAACACTGGGGGTGGTTCTATATCTTTCGTGTCTGTTTAAAAGAGGATATTTCATCTTACCCCTGTCCAGCATGTAAAGCAAGGAAAAGTCCTCTAGAATTCAACCCTATGTAATGCACTTTTTGGGAAGACTTTACTAGATTACTTTGGCATCTAACCTGCTTTTCCAGTTCTGATTGATAGGGAAGATGTGTGCTAATGTCTTTACGAAAAATTCGATGGCTGAAGGTGTGGGTGTTAACCTTAATATCTCTACTAACTTCAAGCAGCAGGTTTGTTACAGAGCCCAGCCGGTTTGACTCCTGAAACAGACAAGGGTCTGCACAAGCCTGAACTTCTGAACTTTGGGGTAAAATGAAAAGCTCAAGGGGGATATGTGGTAGACGGTTCGGGAAGGCTGTACCTTCCCGGTCCTCACCCAACGGGGAAAGGAGGAGGGCAACACGTGGCCGGGAGTTTAGGCTAAAAGGAGGCTGCATCCTCTAAAAACTCGAGAGAGAAACCCCGCGGGCGTATGCTCCAGTGCACTCTTTCCCTTTATTTGAATAAAGTTGCAGGACTCCTCTGTCTCCATTGTGTTCACTGACTTTACATAGCGTGATTTTCCATACATGATCATTCCAATTCATAGGTTAAGGAGTGGTAGCAACAGCGCTGTAGTCGAGGCAGTCAGTTTCAACAAGTTTCTTGCTGTCTTTGAGTACTTTGAGCTTTGGTGAAGGATTACTGCAAAAGGTAACTGGGCAAAGTCTGTAGGGGAAGCAGAGGGTGAAGGTAGCGGCTGTAATTTATAAATGATCTGCCACAAAGTGTCTGCTTTAAAGGAGGAAGTGAGAGAATATTTGCACCCAAACGCTGGCCAAGGCAATATCACATAAAAGAAAGAGATCAGCAACTGCAAGTGATAAAACACTCCTTGTGCTGTGATGAAGAAAATAAACTCCCTAAGCTTTGCAGTCATCCCGAACTGCTTGGTGGTTTGAACCGAACGTAGTATGTGGTACTGTGTTTATAAAAAAGAACCAGTTTCAACTGTTTCAATGATGTGTCAAAATTTCTAAGATGGGTTTTTTTGAGATGGAAGGCGTATTTTTTTTTCTTTCTCCAGATGGATAAAGAATCTGCACAGAATCACAGGATCTGCAGCTGGACTGAGGACAGTTGTAAGAGCAGTTCTGCACAGGTTCTAGAAAAAAACAGCAGTTACTTCTCCAATTTCAAAAGTGAGATTATTTGTTAAATTAGTAAATTTAACCAACTCAGTAAAGAATTGTCTTAGACATCAGTGGCCCAGAAATTTTAATGGGCATTATGAAAAGCAGTTGTGTGATATACATAGTATTTCCTACATGCACAATGCCAGTTTGCCTGTGCTGAATACCAAAGTAGATATACTTGGGAGAAATATGGGGAAAAAAGGCTTGGGCAGTGTAATTAAATAGCCTTAAATTATTTTGGATTAATTTGTCAACATTCTGTTGATTTTGTTGCAGATTCATCAATATGAACTTGGTCAGTACAGAAAACTTGACATTTTTGAAGGTTCCTAAGTTAGTAGCTTCATCATTTGCTTTGTGGTACACAACTCTTTAGTTATAGGCTCCTACCTGAAGTAAAAAAAAAAAAAAAAAGTAGAAAACTCAAGCAACCTGAGGTGTTTATGCCTCTACTTTCAGGGTAAAACTTTAAAACTTTCTCATCTGGAAAGTATGAAATGTATATAACCAGGCAAACACTTAGCTGAAAATCTGGGGGAAAAAATGAATTAAATAGAACATAATTTTTGCAAAGCTGCTTTTTTTTTCTCATGAAAGAAATGTTAGCTTATGGAAAATAATGTTTTGTTTGTAAAATCCAAGACTTGAGGAATTTTTTTCATACTAAATAAAGCTTAAATCCTGTTAACATTTATATTCTTATGTGTAATTGTAACTTCCAACAACTTAAAATTAAGCTCTGGGCTCAAATCTTCGGCATTCCCTTAAATGATGATTTGTGTAACTGAATACAACAGTGACTGTACTCACAAGTGAGTGTTGTAAATCAACTGTCCTACAGTCAGTATATGACACACAACCCAAGCACTGCCTACAGGGTAACCAGCAGCCACACCATTGCTAGCAGAGATAAATAGCCTGGAGATATGACAGCAAATGACAATATAAGAGAAGAATGGTTAATCATATTTAGATAATAATCTTGCAGAAGACTATCTGTGAAGGGTTACACAACGTGTAAGATTCTTGTGATTATGCTTTTTGCAGAAACATGCGACAGGCTGTGAAAAGTTGTTTTGTATTTGAAAGGCAAATAAATGGCAGATGGAGGAATTCAAGTGTTTTGCAGACGAATGATCACTGTACTGTCATAAGACAAACTGGTGTGGCAATTAATTTCCAGAATTCCCCTGTTGATCTCCAAGTCTGAAGAGTTTTCATCAGTATGAAACTTTCAGTTAAATAGTTTTGGTAAGTCTAGGTGCCATGTCTCTCTGGTGCCTTTTTGTACCCGCTTCCATTTCAGTAAGCCATATCAAGTCAGGACTTCCTGCTGTTTTAGCTTTCCTGTTAAGGGATAAAAAGAAACTTCACAAGTTAACCTGCTATCTACTTTCCCAATTGCACAATTTCTAGGTTATAGTTCAGATAAATTATTTAGATTCAGGTTAAGGTTCAGATAAATACATTTTATCTGAAAATAAAATGGGGAGCGGAGAAGAAACATATATTCTGCTTGCTTCTCCAAGGGAAAAAAACCATATTGTGATTGCTTGCTGATGTTGTCAGACCTGGTGGAAATTTACACAGATGGCAAGGGCCATAATCTCACCAGGTTCACCTGTACACAGTTAGCTTGTAAAAGGAATAGGGTTCTCTCAGTGAAAGCAACTTTTAAAAAGAGGAACAAATAGAAATCATGTGCCAGGATCAGCCTATAGTGATCACTAAAATCTGTAAGGAATAGATTTTTGTATATGTAGATACACTGTCAGCTTTTTTAACATGACTTATAAGAAATATGTGGAAGTAATAAATTTTGTGAACTTAGTCAAGGAGACATCTGAGACCAGGCTTGTACATGCTACAAAAAAATTCAATGTGTTATACTCAACTGATTGGGGGGGTGGGGGGTAAGAATTTTGGTTTTAGCTTCTTGTTTAAAAATTGTTTGAGTGTCAAGTGTTTTGGTGGGAGGGGGGGTTGTTGGGGTTTTTTTTGTTTGTTTTGGTTGGTTTGTTTGTGGGCTTCCTTCCTTCCCTTCCTTCCTCCCTTACAGCTCATCTTTTAGGGGTTTTGAAGGGTTCCACTTGGAAGCTATAATACCACTTGTAAGCTATCAGGTCGTTGTTGTCTGTATCATTCTGCTGCTTTTCTGTATTTCTCAGTTTTCAGAAGAGAGCCCTGTTTCCTGCTCATTCATTCAGAGCCATGGTATGCATTGTGATGTGTTGGTTTAACTGGTTTGCAGGCATTACTAGCTCACAGCTAAGTTCTGTGGAATGTTTGTGTCTACAGGAGGAATTTTGTATTAACAGCACAATGACTGTTATTTGACCATTGTGTCTCATAGCTGTTTGGTTTTTGTGTGTCATCTAGATAGTGAAGCCTTAACTTGGCAGAAGTATGTGCATGAGGCATAATTCTAATCAGAAAGCAGTGCACTTGCCTTCGTGAACTCTTCCAGGGCGGCTCCTGTCTTAGGTTACACGATATACAGGGTAGCCTCCAGGATATCTGTTCCACAGTGGCTCCTCGTGGCAGATTCCCTTTAGGAACACCAGCTACCCCACCCTTCCACCCTCCTGCACTGACCTTAGTCTGCAAGATTGGCTCAGCTTTTTATGTCTGACATGGCTTCAGGTCTCTTACCACAGAGGCCCCTCTGTCTCCTTACAAAATTATTGCCATGTTAACCCAGTGTAAGAACCTCTTAGACTAATGGCAGGGAGAGAGTGAGGTGGGTGATAAGGTTGTGATAGCAATAAGGAAATAGTTGAACAGGACTTCTTTCTTGCTTTTATCTTTCCCTTATTCACACTCTCCCACCCTCATTTGGCTACATATTTGCATAGAAAGGCTAATGGCTCTAGTCTTCCCTGTGTCCACTAGTGTGTTTTACAGCTGTAAGATCATGGAATTATAGAACAGGCTATAGGGATCTCACACGATCATCTGGCCCAAAGGCTCATGGAAAAGGGAGCACAAATAAAATTATAAACACCTTGTCCAATTGCACCTTGAAAGCCTCCAGTGATTCCTCCCATATTTGAAAGCATGCAATGGTACTGCAAGTTGTGTAATGTTTATAGACACTACATGGAATGAGACAGAATTTGAAATTTGAATACAGAACTGACCTATTTTGCCAAGGAAAGTGTGTAGAATCAGAATACACTGGGTTGAAAGAGACCTGTCAAGATCATCGAGTTCAACTCCTGGCCCTGCACAGGGCACCCCCAGAGTCACACCGTGAGAGCATTGTCCGAACATTTCTGGAGCTCTGTCAGGCTGGTGCTGTGGCCATCGCCCTGGGGAGCCTCTTCCAGTGCCCAAACACCCTTTGCATGGAAAACGTGGGGGTTTGGTTCATTCTGATGGAATGACTACTGCTGAAAGTGAGGAATCTGGATTGCCACCTGAGGAGCCCTTGTCACTGACTGTTTCGTGATATAGGTAATGTGTCAGAGACATGTTGATGAATGTGCAGGTTTATAGGTAAACCTAAACCCGTGGTGAAGCAGCTTGCTGCCTCTCTCCAGAGTTATTTGGATTAGTTATGTGAGAAATACCCAGCCCTGCATGAG